CTTTATGCCAACCTGAAATATAGGGTTTTTTTCCCTGCTGCTTCTGCACAACAGATGTGTGTTTTATTCTTATAACACATGTCTCCCCCTGGTGGTGGGAGGGGGCCACATGAAGAGCACATAAAGCAGCGCATAAAGAACAGGGTAGGGACCGGAAGTGATATGCTGTGATGCTGTGGCAGTCCAAAATCCAAAATTAAAGATGCCTGATGGTTAGCGAGACTGAGGAGAATTCTGTATTGCAAACCCCTTCTGCTTTCACAACCGACTCCCAAGCCCTGCCCTGAGGTCTGCGATCCACAAAAGCATGATGAGTTATTAATGCATTTTAAAGGCTCTGTTAAATGCACGGATCACTGAAGAACTCACTTTGATTATACGTAGTGTACAAAATATTGAGAAAAGGGACTGATCACAGGTTATGATATTATTAGTTGATATTGCCAATAAGTTCAATAAAAATTGGGAGGAAAAAAACATGATTGCTTTTTTTCAGTAAACAAGCCTAAATCATTCTTTTTAGAAAGCTAACCAACTTTGTTTAAAAGTCAACATTTTCTTTATCAACTGCATGGGGTCTCCAGATGATAATCCATTCCTGGCATTGCCCTGATTTTTCATATTAGCAATTGTTATTATAGTTTCCTATTTCTCCAAGGAGTTCAGCCAGCAGGTAGTTTCTGCACAAAAACCCTAGGAGGGAGGTAAGGTGAGGAGAACCAGCCTATGCATGCTTTTTCTTTATTTTTCAGCCATCTCATGACTTATTTCTCCCTGCACCTGCCATGACATCCTGGGTTGCCTTCAGTGACTGCACCTCCTTTAGCCCAACACTGATATAAACATGGGACAATTTTCCCCAGTTCTTGCAATAGCAAAATTTGAAATATTGGGGATAAATATGGGAAATTACTGAGAAATCATTCTTCTATGATTTGTTCTTTTTTTTCCCTGAGAGTGAGTGACAGGCAGATTTACAAAATATATTCCATGACTTTTACGTAAGACATTCTTACAGCACTAAACGTAATTCTGTAGAACGGTAATTACTAAAGGTAATTCTGTAGAAAGCTAGGCACTTTGATGCCCTGCAAATGCTTTGGGTTCAACTTCCTTCAATTCAATGGTATACAGTAAGTGAGTTGTAGTTCAGAACAACTGGGACATATCAGGCCACCTACCCCCAAGCAAATCAAGACAACTTTTATGCATATGGAGTATATAGCCATTCTCATGAGAGGAGCTTGCAAAGTTTTGGTTGCTTCTGGATTGTTACTTTAGACAAATGAATCCTGTTATGTGCTTTTTTTCTCTATTATGGCCGATCTTTTCCTTTCAGACCACCCTTTTTTGCTGTTCTCACTGCTCAGAAACCAGATGAGGAGAAGAGGTCATCTTACCGTCTCTCCTCAAATGTTGGAGAAATGCCCGAAGCAGGAAGCATGTTTGTATCTTCTGATTTAGACCCTGATAGTGAAAAGTTTTAAAATTGCATGGAAAATCAGTTTGCTTAACACATAACAGAGGGGTAGTCCTGGTTGTTAATCTTTTGTGATGAAACCCCCAGAGCCTTGTGACACATAAGCTTTTGTAGATCCCAGTCCATTTCATAAAATGGGTGAAAAGTAGTTCTGAGAAAGGAGAATTATATATTCACCCAGCCATTATTGGGAAGAGGGAAGTATTCTATCACAGGGTTCCTCAACCTCAGCAACTTTAAGATGGGTGGACTTCAACTCCCAGAATTCCCCAGCCATGGGAGTTGAAGTCCACCCATCTTAAAGTTGCTGAGGTTGAGGAACCCTGTTCTATCAAATACAGGGCTAGGGTAGAGAAGAGAGTTAAGGAGACTAGTTCAGTTCCACTCTCCCCATAAATACAGTGACCATATGTTCTTTATTATAGTCCTATACTTCAGAAAGCTGCCCCTTAGATTTATTTAATTTAATTATGTATTTTCTTGGTTTTGCTCTTGAATTTTCCTTTGTAAAATAAAGTTATAAACATAAACTTTTTTTTTTTATTCTTATGACCCTCTTTCAGATTTGCCCCCTTTTCAGGATTGTCCTTTATTTTTTCCAAGAAAATATGGTTGCTGTACCCATAAGACATTGTAGGAGGAGAGGTGTGCTGGTCTATGATAGCAAAACATCAGGAATCTGTTAGTCCCTTTTCCAACTAACAGATTTTATATTACATTTTATTAAAAGGCATAAAATTTCATCAACTGCAGCCAAAAAAAAGAAGAAGAAAAGAAAATCAGGAAGAGCTTTTGCCTTTTAATAAAATCTGTTTGATGGAAAAGATACTACCATCCTCCTCCTGATTTTTTTTCTCCCCCTAAAGCAATTTTAATTTTATCAGGAGAGAACATACTCTCCACACTCTGGAGGCTTACCTGAAAGCAAAATTGACTAAATAACGTGAATTTGGCTTTTGACTAAATTTGCATAGGAAAGCTGTAGGAAATTGCAACCTTATATCTACTTGCCTAAAGATCTCTGCTAATACCGTGGGAATTACTGTTGAATAACCATCCACAACAAGGGTTTTCCAACTGTGGGTTGAAACTGTCAGGGGAGTCCTGAGCTACTTAGAGAGGCTTCATCATTTTTAAAAACTTGATCAGGTTTGCATGAATAAAAGGGGAGCATTGTCAAAAAACCTTGCTCCACACTGCTTTGCTCATTTGGCGATAAGAGCGGCGAAACATCATTATTTCTCTGTTCTTATTTCTCCACATCTGGTGGATAAAATCATTTGGATTTGTTCCCAGTTGGAGGCCAAGCGTGGTGCAGGTCCTTTGGAGATGCCTG